GCTGAGTATCCATGCGCCGATGGCGCCACCCCACTTCCAGGGATCTGTGGGTGGTGGCACATCCTGCGCCCAGCGAACCTCGTAGATGTGCCCAAGAAGCCATCGAAGCTGGGCTTTCTTCAAAAAAACCCACCCGCTGTGAGACATCACTACTTCCTGTTAGGGTTTAGGGCTACGCCCTCAATGCCCACCTCGACAAGATTGTCTTCTTGCTTCCAACAGCATGACTCCAGGCAGGGCCTCCCTCGGAGGCTTCCAGGGTTCAGGGGGTCTTTAAGGGCCCTGAAGGGCTTGGGGGCTCTACCAGGCTTAGGGGGTCTCGAAAGGGGCTTGCAGGTGCCTGGTTTCAGGGCTTGGTCTCCTGTGACAGTGTTTACGGTATTCCCATTCAAGGGGAAAATCAATGTACATTGTATAGATTTGGCCCACTGGGGTGGCTGGAGGCAGGGCTGCGCCGTTGCGACGTATGGGAGGAGCCCGGAAAGGCTTTATACGTCCATTTTCCATAGGCTCCTCCCATTGTCTTACCCAGTACCACAGTGTCTGACCACCCTAGTAATGGTGGGAACGGCCTAAGCAGGCCGGGTGGGAATTTAGGGTTTAGGCTTTAAAGTTTCGGGTAGTGATGGGATTTTATAGGGTTTATATATGGAGCAGATCAGGGTTTAGGGTAGATAAGTAAAAATGTCATGGAAAAACAAACGGCAACCCGTGTTGCAAAGGGATATGTCGGGGAATGAACAGCACACTGATGCACACTGGACACTTCTGTACAATTTGGAGTTACCAGACTGGAGAACCAGATGGAACACGAAAGAGAAACCAAAGGAATGTTGGGTAATGATGGAGAAGTATATGGAAAGGAACACAGAACATGAATTGGACACTGTATTCAGGGTTTGGAGTTCCAGGTGTACCCACTCATGCTTGAAGTAGGGAATGGCTGGACCCTGCATCATTTAGGATTTAGGGCTGAGTCGGGAATGGGCGAAAGGGAAGAACGCAGAAAGTCTTTAGCTTTTGGGGGTAAGGGTTTGTAACCAGGTCTTGGTTATAGTTCTGCGTTCAAGAGATGCATACGTTGGGAACGCAAAGACAAGCTTACAACACTCAACCGGGTCTGCCGCGCATGCCGTTTTTTCGCGCGACGCAGTCAAAACCTGTGGATTTGTGGTCTCAGGACGGCGCAGACTGACGCAATCAGACTCGCAACCCTGCAGAGGGCCATGGGCAATACCAAGACCACATAACTGCTAGAACTACGACATGCTTACAGGATATGCTTGTATCGGAAACCTCAAGACCTGGACCTACATGTTCTTCAGGTAGATCCCCGTAATGGTCCCCGTATGTACCCGTATTCTCCACAGCCAGTACTCCCCCATGAATGTTGGATCTGCCAAGGTCTTCACCTATGACCGATGCTGCACAGAGACCGAGGAAGGCATCCAGGCCGATAGTAGAACCCTCAGTCACACTGTTTAGGGTTTGGGTTGACTCTGAGTCTGACTTTTTTCAGACAAGCAGTGATGGGGGCAGGCCGGAAGGATGTGCTTGAAACCTGACAGCCCAGTTGCACGGACCTGTCTCCTGCGGTCCTCGGTATGTTGTTTGCACTGTCCTGTTCACAATCCAGGCCACTTCAGATTTGGGTCTAGGCTTTGAATGTGCATCCAAAATCCAGGTTTGACATGGTTCGGACCCAATAGGATACAACACGCACATCTGCTTACATCTTAAATCTCAAAATCATTCTTGATATGTGACATAGTGCCATTCTCTGGCTACATTGTAGGATGACTGAGCTCACCGAAGGGCAAAGAGAGGATGTGCGTAGCGATTGCTGTGCAGAGTACACTGCCCAAAGAAAACAGAAACCGTCTTCTGGGAGTGAACGTGCTGGTTGAAGTTAAAGGTTTCGCTGAGCATCTGCAAGTTCCAGGTCACCAAGGCCCTTGTGCAAGATGAAGTGCAATTGTGTGTGACGTGTGCCAGTTCGACTTGCGCCGCCGAAACTTTGTGGCGGACATGGTTCGGAGGCATCCGCGTGCTCTAACGCAAGAAATGCAGGGTCCTGATATACGGCCACGCAACAACTGGTACAGGATGTGTAGTGAGGCACAAGTTTGCCGAAAAAGTGGCCTCAGTTCTGACCGCCGCTTGAAGCAATGTTGCCAGCGAGTCGCTTGTGTAACTTTGAGAATCTTCTGTTTCTGGACCGTAGGGGCTATGCTGCCTCTTTCGGGGACCCCCTAAGAAGAGGCTGCGTACCCTCCCATCTTCTTCGTCTTTTTGGCCTCGGCAGTTGGATTGATGTTGTTAAGCATTGTCACTGACTCAATGCTTTTTGCACCTTGACTGTCTCTTTACAGGGCTTTCTCGTTTCATCTAAGGGTATGTGGTGGTTCCTGTCAGGATATGAGGTGGTTGCCGTTATCAGATCAGTGTCTATTGGCTGACAGGGGTGCCACGGTCCACTTCGACATTCGACAAGTCTCCGGCGGGCGCACTGGGGCCGTCGCATCCAGGACTGGATGCCTTGGCCTCTTCTTCATGTTTTGCAGTGGTATACTGCAGGGGCATCATTTACAGCTTGTGTAAGATTTCCGAAAGATTTTACGAATTCACCCGTTGCGGGGTTCTCGGCCAGCCGCTTGCTCGAGAAGTCCGCGTGCTGCAACGGGATTACCGGACATGAGCACTGTTGAGTCTCAAATCTGTTCAGGCTGTGGGAAGAGGACATGGCAGTCTTTCGCTGCACGGTCATAGACGGAGAATGAGCCCTGATGAGCCCTCAAAAACAACAAGTGCTTGGCTAAAAAAGAGACCAAGTATCCATTTGCAGAGATTAGTGTTCGTGCCATGGCTGACCCGGGCGACATTTATGGCTATGAGGAAGCGCTGCATGCCAGGATGCACAAATTTGACGTCAATGAAGTCCAAGTCCTTGAGAACGAGTACGAGGATGAGTACTTTGCATTCCCAGAACCGCCTCTGAGGTACCATGTCTCAACTGTGCATTTGGACGCTGTTATTGAAGGGCATAGCTTGAGCGGTGAGCTGCTCTTCCAGATTCCACAGACACGCATCGGGGAGCTATCTGAACTGACTGCAGGGGTCCTTCTCGAGCTGCTAGCGGAGCAGCTGGAGACGGCGCAAGATACCCTCAAACTGATCCAGGGCGAGCACGAGCTGTCCATCGCTGACCGCGTGTCCGGCACCCTAACACTCAAGCAGACCATCCGAGACCATCGTCCGTTAGTCTGTCGCAAGGTACAGGGTGAGAGGGAGTCCAGACTAGGGGAAGGCTCGGTGACGGTGGATATGAGCCGCATGCAAAATGCGCCCACAATCCAAGCCCTTGTCGAATCGCGGGAATGGGTGACTGGCGGGGAGGAAGATTGGCTCGTATATACAAAGCTCGAGGTCTTGTCCTATACCAAAGGCGTAGAGGAAGTACTGAAACCCATTGGGTACTTCCCTCTTGCACCTTGCTGGAAGCTTCCTGCAGGGAGCAGGCAGTGGGGTGGCGAGCGCAGTGATGTATGGAGCACACATGTGCAGCTGCCAGTGAAACAGCTGTTGGATGAGCATGCGGCTGCAACCCTTGACCGTCCCTTGCCTCGCTACCAGATGATCGTAGACCCCAATCAGTTCGTTGACCATGCTCGTGATGGTCCCGTCTGGGCACCCTGTGAGTTTGACATTGCAGCAGATGGAACTCCCACGTTGGTTGGTGGTATGCGAAGTCACCAGCATCCGCAGCTTGCCCAGCATGTAGCTTTGCCTGTTCTATCTGCAGCCCTTCCCTTGCTTGCGAAGCTGCGACGCCCACAGCTTCTCCTAGATGAGCGGAGGCTACAGGTGGTTTTTAAAGCGCAAAGTATTATTGTTCCCGGTGCAGCTGGAGATGGTGCAGATTCCGAGTATGTTGGGCTTTGGCACGTCGATGGGCACAGAGAGCATGTAGCCGCTGTTGTGCTGTATTACTACGATGTTGACCCCTGCCTACATGGCGGAGACATGGAGTTCTGCGGCCGGGAGCCCATGGATGTTCTTGGCGTAGGCGACTGTAGCAATAATGTGGATGAGTTTAGCAAGGACACCCTTCGTGCTGCTTTTCGAGGTGGGGCCGTGCATAACTGCCGTGTTCCAATTGCTGAAGGCACCTTGCTGGTCTTCTCCAACTACCAAATGGCACACCGTGTCCTGAGGTTGGCAAACACTGGCCCCAGGGAGGCCTCCCGTGACTTTGTGGCCCTTTTCATTCTGGATCCGTCAATGCCACCACTTCGCCCTGCTCGGAGCCTCCTAGCCGGACCCTACTTGCTGAAGCGAACCTTGGCTCGCACTCGCATTTCAACATCAGATATCCTGAGAATCCTGGAGTTCTCTGGGGCCACGGAAACAGATCAGGCACGGAAAACGCAGCGCAACCAGCTGCTGTCGGAGCAGCTGAAACCCTCGGGCGAATTTGCCCTTGGGAGTAATGTGTATGCAACAGGCAACGGCTGCTATGCCATGATTGGCTGGTTGCACAAGCTGTTAGAAAGGGAAGACGGCTTCTTCACAGAAGGATTGGACGACATAAAGGCCATCGATAGGTTCCGTGCTCTGAACCTGACCCCGCTCAAAGCGGACCGCGGCATGTCAGAAGTACTCTCCCTGCCAACTGAAGAGATTGAACGCCGGCTCAAGCCAGAAGATCCGCCCCATGGTTCCGAAGCTTCGACTGACGGCGCTTCACAGGTGGAGCCAACAGAAACTGCACCACCCCAAGCTGCACCGCCCATGAGAGGTGATGCCCAGAACAGGGATACCGCAAGGTGCTTGATTTCTTAAGGCCTCAAGCTAGAACAGACCTACAGCTGCGAGACCAAATGATTGGCGAGTGCCCGTCGCTGGCGGAGAATGTTGGGAAGCAAGGAGTCACGGGACATGGAACACGACCATTGTAATCTGCAGGACGTTGTCTGCCCGCTCCACTGTTCTGAGAGTACCCTCGACTCAGGACGGGATTGGTAGAGTGGAGCCGCAGAGTGTCAAGCAGACGAGAAAGGGTCATCCAGAACCCAAGCCGTGTTGTTGTATTCCTTTCGTTTGCAGGTCTTCTCACTGAAGAGTGTGCACTCTGCAGTGATTGAAGCATCGAGGCCACGCAGCAATCTGGAGTGACCAGGAGAGAGTATGCGGTCTCAATTGGGAGCAAGCATGGCTGAAACAGTGTTGAAACAGTTGGCCTTTGCATTTGAGCCCTGATTCCTGGTCGCAGGCGTCATAACTGTGATGCTCACGCGATTTTGAGCCTGGGTTTGGCACTCGAGAGGCTCGAAGCGCAAACTCTGTGTAGAGATGTGCAGAAGCCGTATGCAGACGATGCAGAGACTGGGTTTCAGGACAGCTTCAAAGACTGCTTCGTGCGGGAATCTCCTATCTTGTGTCAGAGACGTTGTTGAGCGTCTGCAGGGTAAATCCAAACTCGGTTTTGGCGGACTGGATCAAGCTGCTGCCCCTCACGTTTGCAAACGCTGCTCGGCCTCAAAGAGTCAGCTCATTTCTGTTAAAGAAGCCTTTGCCAGCCCTTGCCATGAAGCTGCTTTGTTCATTTGTAGGGCACTGGCTCTTAGATATGAACTCAAGGTGCTTTGGTTCTCCGACAGGCCTTCAGTCTCTTGCTTGCCTAGCATGCAAGAAGGTTGACTGCCTTTTGCCCTGCTCTCCATGACGGACATCACATCAACAGATTTGGAGTTGCGGATAAACAGTCAGATACCTTGCGGACCATGTATAGTTGTTGTCATACCATCAGCATATCATGCTGTGACATGAGTTTATTAGACTATTGTGTCAGAAGATTCTTGCTCCAGCCTGAGAGGCAGTTGGATTTGGTGCAGAGGACTTTCTTTTCCTACATAGTCCAGAATTGGCCTGGGCCCCAGGCAACCTTTCTCGTGCACCAGCGGCCAATGATCAGAGCCATTATGTGTTTCGGCGGATATCCCCCCAAAACCTGATGCTTAGCAGGTTTGAGGACCTCGACTGCATGGGGCGTGCAGCCAAAGAGGCGGAGCAAACAATTCGTCAGGAAGTCATTCAGCTGCTGCGCTTAGAAAAATGATAATCGTGCGCACTTTGTTCTCTTCTTTCTCCTGATCCTCCTCCTCTTCCTCATCTTCGACAATGAGGAAGATAAAGAAGACAACGGTAACGAAAAATAAGCAGACAAAGTAGAGGAAGATCAAGACAACCAAGAAGACGACCAAGAGGACGACCACATGGAGATGCTTATCATTGTTCATCAAAAATGCAGGGGTGACCCGCAAATTCTTGAACTTGAACTCCTAGGTAGTGGGAACATGAAGTGGTGTTACATGTCCTCCACGCGCACGACTCCTGTTCAAGTGGTCTTTTCAATGCCCCTCAGTTGTGAGTCAAGGACCTAAACCAGAAACTTTAATAGGAAAAGGACTGGCCGCACAACAGTACTAGTAAAGTGCAACCGTCAGTACAGTATGCAAGCTGACCCTCATAGCGCATGCTATTGCAGGCTGAACCTGTCAGATGAATCCACCCTAAGCCTCGAGCCCTAATCCAAAGGATTTTCTTGCAGTCAGTTTGCCCCATGTAAGCCTGACGTAGAACTAAACTGTAGACCTCTGTGCCAACTCAACCCGTCAGATGAATCCAAATCTCTGGCGTGGACGGCCGGTGACGAAGGAGGATTTGGTGCTCTCGTACTCTTCAGTTTCAATTTTGATGCGGTCTATTATAGTAGTTCCGATTTTCTTTCCATGGTTCCTAAACAACCCTCTGTGCATTTCTGGTCTTCGGTCTCATGAGGGAGCTCATTCCTAGATTCAGAGCTACAAAGCGAGCTGAACTGCCTTTGCAGAGAATGACGTGCATGCTGAATCATGCGGGCTTCACTCTCCCTAAACCCTAAACCCCAAATAGCAGCAAGTTTCGAGGACCTCAGATGGGCGCTGAGTGTGGTGAAGACCCGTGGTTTCGCGTTTGAGGTGCTGCGCAGTAACCCACTTACATGGGCAGTTTCCAACATTAGTGTCCCATTGCTGTACCCATGATAGGTGGTGTGCTCAAACTTATGCCCCAAGGACCCTTTACTTGGGAACAGCCCACATGCTGTTTGCAAGCAGGCTGCTTCCCTTTGGCTGTGCGTTAACTTTGATTTTGATCATGCTTTTTCCATCGCGAGTTTGCTTTCAGGGCCAAGTTGCAAAGGTGCTCAATATGTACAGCACGTAGTGGCAGGTCCATACGCCCTGCATGTTCACGACAACAACTGGACTTGAGTAGGGCCCTTGCACCCCTGTTGTTCCATGCTTTCATGGTGGCAGGGCACCCGGGAAAGCACCATGCTGATACCGCTGGCGGATTTCCTCAACCATAATATGGCCAAAGCCCCAGATAGTCGGGCAGCAACGAGCAGAGCATGGTGCGAATCATTGAAGCGCATGCGGAGCTTTTGAATTCAAACTCTGCCTATATAATCCATAAGGGGACTGCCTACACATCTTTCGGGTTTCTACAGGGCCTGGCTTTTTCTGAAAGCCACGTGTCTTGCCTCAGGTCGCAAGTGTTAGAACTGCAACCTTGGCAGAGGACATCGAACGGAATGCAAGGTTTCCATTTTCAAAAGGGTCCACTGCTACTAAGGAATTGCATCTCACTGAATGTGCTGCCACGATGTCTCTCTGTATTGTTTTTTTGTTATGGCTGCTATGCGAACATGTTCATCATGATGTGCGTCATGCCTACCAAAACACTGAACCCCAAACCGCTTGGTGTAACCACTCGTAGAGTCGTAGATGCGTCGAGCAGGATGCGCTACGGTTCGTGGCCACAAAGGATGTCATGCCTGGTGATGTGCATTTCTCAGCTTCCTGCTGAAATGTGACCATGTGCCGATAGTTGGGTCTTCATACATCCCCTGAATAACTCAGTAGCACCTAGGACGCTCAATGCAGGTATAAGCGAATCAAAGTATTTTGGCTGGTCATCACAAGTCAGGATTCTTTTCAGGGTTCAGCATGACTTGGGTTCCCAAAGATGGGCTGTGATTTTTTCATGTGTACTTCTTTGAGGAATTCCTTAAGAATTTCAGGTCCTGCCCCCCGCATGTCTATGTAACTCGAAATTGTCACATGACACGCGTGTCTAGTGATGGAAAAGGGGGTTCCCAGACATAGGGATTCTTTTCCCAGTCCTTAGTTTGAGGAGTATATTGTATTGGAGTCTATACGGTGCTCCCATTTGGGGAAATGTCAATGTTCCCAGACCACTCATCAATTGAGCCATACTCTAAACTCCTTAAAGGGGGATATATAGGGGATTATATAGGGGAATACTATAGGGGTTCTTGAGAGGGATACTGGGAGTTTAGAAAATGGCTCAAGTGTGGTTGGTTGTCAGGAGCTGTGCATCGACTATGCCCAGGCGTCCAACTTAGAGTGCCTTGGATTTGTTTTAGATCCCATCCTCTAAACCCTAAACCCTAAACCCTTCACCCTAAACCCTAAACCCTTAACCCTAAACCCTAAACCATGAGTCTTCATGAGCTTTCTGGTTTATAGAAGCTCCCAGTTCCATTGTCTTTTTTTGTTTTTGGGGCTCATGGAAGAACCCCCAAGCCTATTCCAGCAACATGTATGGTACAGTGCATGAAGTTATGTGAGCTATTGTTTAAACTCCTTCAAGGGGGTTATATAGGGGATTTTTTCGGGGATTACTATGGGGCTTAAGGGGGATACTAGGAGTTTAGACTCTGACTCATGTGAGAATTCTCAGGTTTCTTGTCCGCTACGGTTTCCGTGTTGAGGACGCCTGCCTCACATCTGGCCTTGCCATGGAAAGACTCGGAGCTGCCTTTTCTTAAGTGATGGATACCGGAAAATGCCTGTAAGGCTGGGAAACAAGTGGATTTTGGTAATGCCCACCCCTATCATAATCACCCTATTAGGAGTCACAGGATAGGCATAGGGAATCCATCTTCCAGGTTTGGGTAGCCAAAATCCCCTAAACCCTAAACCC